GCCTCCGCCGCGACCGCGGCCGTCTGCTCTGCCGCAGACAGGTCCATCTGCGAGAATTCGCCGAACGGCGGCTGCGAGGCCGGCTCGGAGAACTGGGAGGAGGCCTGCTCCTCAGGCTCGTTTGCGGGGGCGGGCTCTTGCACGCCGAATCCAAAGTCCATGTCCATGAGCTCGCGTGTGGAGAGTGGGGACGCCTTGAGCTCACTTCGCTACCCGCCGGTACTGGCCAGTGGACGCTCGGGGGCAACAAAAAGAATTTCACATCTGCGAGAGCCAACAAAAAGAATTTAAACAAAACAACTCACTCTCACAGCAGACAGGCTCGACACAGGTGCGAACTGGCGCGTGCTAGTACTATCACCGGCACACCACCGGAGCCGCCTAAGCGACTCCGTTAAGAACGGCAATAAGAATTTTACAACAAAACTCCCTCGCACAAGAGAGAGAGAGAGAGAGAGAGAGATAAAACTTCTGATGCCATGCGTGACCTAGTAGTGTCCCCAGCTATGGGCGTGTCCACGTTGGAGCCAGGTGTGGTGTGGACGCGAGAATAGCTCCGCCGTTCATGGAGGCAACCGATGCGAGTCGACTGGTGTGTGTCGTCGTGGTTTCGTATCAAGAATTCTCTCTCTCTCCTCGCACAACACTGGGCACGGGACTGGCGCGCACTGGCACTAACACAAAAAGAATTTTAAAGCGGCGAATGTGGCCCTGAGTTATGTGTACGCCAACTCAGGGTCTGAGGGAGGGTGTAGAGGATGTAGAGTGTAGAGCGCTGTAGAGCTGTAGAGATGTAGAGCGCTCTGGAGCGCTGTAGAGCTGTAGAGCTCTACATCCGCCACGTGACGAGGCGGGTGCGTTGTAGAGCGATGTAGAGCGCGATTTTGCTGTAGAGTTTGTTGTAGAGGCTCTACAGCCAAACCGCCGGGAAGGCAGTGACTCAAAGAGGTCGAGTCGCACTAATGGGGTGTCTCCGAGCTTACTGGAGCTCTGATGGACGGCCCTGACTATCACTGACACACAGAGACGGTCACTCTGACGGCACACAACACCCTAGAACTGCGTCATGACCAGCCTGCCATGCGTCGCCGGTGCCGCATTCGTCGCTGTGCTTCTTTAGCAGGCGGTGGACTGTCGGCTGCGAGGACGGTCGCATTTGCGCGAGGCGAGGCGAGCATTCAGACGCGTTGCATGCGCCATGACTCGCGCCAGCGCGTGCGGGAGCTCCTGGCTGAGCGTTGAGTCCAGGCGAGTTGCGCTGGCCACGATCGCTACGCCAAGCCAAGCTGACGCGCCGAGGCGCCGGCCAGTCGCAGCCGTGAGGCATGCCACAGCAGCAGAGGCACCTCCCACCCATTGGGCGGGCAGACAGAAGGCCAGGGCAGCACTGGTAAGTGCAACGCGCCTCATGTCGGAGAGCGACCGTGCCTCGTTCGCCGCTTATGATGTAGAGTTTGTTGTAGAGATTTCACGTTGTAGAGCGCCTCTACATCGCTCTACAACGCACCCGCCTCGTCACGCGGTGGATGTAGAGCTCTACAGCTCTACAGCACTCTCCAGCTCTACAGCTCTACAGCGCTCTACACTCTACATCCTCTACACCCTCCCTCAGCTCAGGGTGTGTGGCAGCCAGCTGGCTGTGTGTCTTGTGAGCCTGTTTGTGTCTGTGTGTCGCTCGTGCGTGTCGTCATCATCTGTCCCGCGTCCACCCATACCGCGCTCGGGGCTACAAAAAGAATTTTACCAACATCACTCGCACGACACTGGGCACGGGACTGGCGCGCACTGGCACTAACACAGGCACACCACGGGAGCCGCCTAAGCCGACTCCTGCGAGGGCGGCGAGGCACTTAGCTCCGTGCACCCGCCCGCCCCCGCCACAGGCAAGCTCATTCACAACCTGCTCTGCGATTGCCGTGTGAAGAACGACCGAGATACGCTGCTTCTGCAGCCCCAGCCAATTCTTAGTGGTCCAAGTCACCTCATCGAGGTACTGGGCCAAAGTCAGCTTGTTCTGTAGCACGTCCGCCGCTTTCCGGAGCGCGGAGGGCGGAGGATCTCACGGACCCCCCTCCCGAACCCGCCGAACGACTCGAACAGCAGCAGCTGCACGTCAACGTCCTTGTCTTCCCTGGCGTAGCGATAGATAGTCCCCGCTTGAGCACTTGAGCACTGGATAGGGTCGATTCCGCATGGTACGGGACCCCTCGATCGTCTCGCCCTCCCTCACTGGTGTGCTCATGGGGGGGGGGTCATAACAAACACGGTGCAGGATCGAGGTGCACGCTGCCAGAGCAGCGTCGTCCCCCCTCTCCCCGACGGTGATGGCGGTGTGACCGATCGAGCTACAAGAGGAGCTTGTTCAGCAGGATCCGGGAGGGTCAGGCGCACTACCTCACTGGGCCTGAGACCGCCGAGCGTAGAGGGCCTCGTGTAGCCCTCCTTTTGGTGTATATGGGTACGACCGGACAGGTCAGGCCCGGGCACGGTCCTGTCCTGGACACGTCTCGGGGAGGGGGGTGTCCGGGACGCGTCCGGACGCATCCAGTGTCGTGACCCCGTGTAACCCTATTCCGAGCCCCCATCCTGATAGCTCCGACACTGTAACCCTAAACTTATCTCGCTTATTCACAGATGAGAAAGGGACGTACGTATGTTCTGATGACAGCCATAACCCTGATGCTGACTGTGTATGATAGACAAATGAAGGGCGGGATGCCAAAGGATCTCTTCTTTCGAGTATTACACGCACTCGAGACTTGGACAGAGGACATGATCTATAGCTTTGTGAATTGGGACGACTACTAGGCGGGGGGTGTCCGGGACGCGTCCGGACGCGTCCAGTGTGTACTCACCAGAGGGGCCACGTGGCTGGTGCCGAGCTAAGAACTCGCGGGGTAACGCGGTCCTGCTTGACATGCTTGCGGCCGCGGGTGCGGTCTGCCACGGGCTCGTCGACATTGAGCTCGAGGTGGTCCACGCGAGCCGCGAGGTCCTTGATGCGCTTGTCGAGCTTCGCGTAGTCTTGCTCAGCGCGGGCCTCGAGGGCTTATGCTCTGGCGAGACGTGAGGCGCATGCGCCCAGGAGGGGAGGGGGCATGTGTAACGACACTGCTAGAGATGCCTTTCGGGGCCCAGAGATAAAACTTCTGTGATGCCATGCGTGACCTAGTAGTGTCCCCAGCTATGGGCGTGTCCACGTTGGAGCCAGGTGTGGTGTGGGCGCGAGAATAGCTCCGCCGTTCATGGAGGCAACCGATGCGCTGATAATCAGTACATGCACATGGACATGGACATGGACATGCACATGACATGTTGTGCATGTGCATGTGCATGCACATGTGCATCTGCATGCGCATGTGTGTGGAGGAAGGTGAAGAACAGTCAGGCTCGGACTGGACACCAACGCGGTATGGGTGGACGTGGGACAGATGATGACGACACGCTCGAGCGACACACAGACACACACAGGCTCACAACACACACAAAGCCAGCTGGGTTGCCGCAACGGCCGGCCTCGCCAGCAGCGTTTCAGGTCGCGGTGCTCGCGGTGCTCGCCGTACAAGGACAAATGCAGGTCCAGGAACAAGGTACAGGTCGGCGGGGCCGCGCCTGGTAGGCCGCAGAAAGTCGCATCTTCGTCGTGCGGACACGCGCTAAGCCGACCTCCTGGACGGGTCTCCGAGAGGGGCCGGCCGCCTGCCGCAGAGGGAAGTTTGCCGTCTCGCGCAGCGCCTCGCACGCCGCCATCCTCGGCGGGCTGCCGTCCGGGCCGCGGAGGAAGCGCATCCTCTGCGTGCCTGGCTTCTCCCATCCGAGGAGCAGATCTCGACCGAGGAGCAGATCTCGAGCCCGGCTCGGTCAGTCTGCCTCCCGGAAGCCGACCCACGAGATGTAGGTCGTCCAGAGGAGGAAGCAGCCTGTGTGTATGTGGGGGGGAGGGGTGGGGGGGGGAGGAGGCTAAGAAAGGCTCAGGGAAGGCTCAGGGAAGGCTCAGGAGAGAGTCTCCCCTCCCCCGCCGCCTCGGCTGCTCTCGGCCCCTCTCGGCTGCTTCTGCCGTTGGTCCAGAGCGTGTTGTACTCGAGCGGGAGAAGGCGGAAGTTGAGCGCCTGCAGTCGAGATGTCGCAGAGATGTCGCCGAGATGTCGCCGAGATGTCGCCGAGAGGTCGCCGAGAGGTAGCCGAGATGTCACCGAGATGTCGCCGAGATGTCACCGAGAGGTCGCCGATATGTCGCCGATATGTCGCCGAGATGTCACCGAGAGGTCGCCGATATGTCGCCGATATGTCGCCGATATGTCGCCGATATGTCGCCGATATGTCGCCGATATGTCGCCGATATGTCGCCGAGATGTCGCCGAGATGTCGCCGAGATGCCGCCGAGAGGTCGCCGAGATGCCGCCGAGATGTCACCGAGATGTCGCCGAGAGGTCGCCGAGAGGTCGCCGATATGTCGCCGATATGTCGCCGATATGTCGCCGATATGTCGCCGATATGTCGCCGAGATGTCGCCGAGATGCCGCCGAGCGATAGAGACCGAGAGGTCGCCGAGAGGTCGCCGAGAGGTCGCGGAGAGATTGCGGAGAGATCGAGACGTAGCGGCCGATCTCGGCGAGTCTCGCGCTGGTCTCGCGCTCATCTCGCCTGCGCCACGCCCCAAAAGTAGCAGGAGCGGCGCACTGTGGCGGGCAGGTCGCTCTTCAGCTTGCGGCCGAGCCGCCGCCGCTTCTCTCCGTCGAGCCTCAGGTACGGCTGGGGTGGGGCGGAGGAGGAGAGGCGGTGATGGAGGTGGAGAAGCGGGTGGTGGGTGGTGAGGGTGGCGGTGGAGCGGGTGGCGGTGGTGTGTGATGGCGGTGGCGATAAGGGCGGAGGCGGCGAGGGCGGAAGCGGCGAGGGAGGCGCTGGCGGGGGCGGGAGCGGTGCGGGCGGACAAGACAAGGGCGGTGAAGACCATAGGTGGCGAGGAGGGTGGTGACGAGACAAGAGGTGGCGGAGGTCAGGGCTGCTGGAGGAGGCGCCTTGTCGCGGGTGAGGACGACGAAGGCGAAGAAGCCGGCGTTCAGGCCCGGCGACATCACCGCCTGGTTGAGCGCGACCTTGCCCACGAGCTGCGCCGTCGAGCTCGCCGCGAGCGGGAAGAGGCGAGCGAGGAGCCGGAACCAAAAGAAGAGCATCAAGCCGCTCACGCTCGCGCCCCAGGCGGAGATCCACGCCGCACGAGAGACGTCCCACGAGCCGCGCCGCTCGACGGCCTGCGCCATCCCGTCGGCGAGCACCGAGAGGCTGGCGGCCGACAGCACGTTTGTCGTGATGGGCGCCGCCGCGAGCGCGGACTGATAGGCTCCGACGAGCGGCGGCAGCGTGAGCGCTGCTCCACCGCGGAGGCGGTGTGCCGCGGCGAGGCCGTGACAGGAGGCGAGCGGGAGGAGGTGGAGGAGGAGGCCGAGCGGCATGGGAGTTCCCTGGGGGCCTGTGGTCTCTGCCCGACGTTTTTCTTGTTTCAGCATCGCTTTCCGCTTTCCATCGAGCCATCGAGTGGGCCGCTCAGCGCCGCCGCCCGCCACGCACGACCGCTTCAGCAAGACTCCACCGCCACCTCCCCCTCCAGCCGCGCCCCCCTGCCGCCCTCTCAGGCAGCCGCCATGAGCCTCGAGGCCACCATCGCGCAAAAGACGGCTGGCACAGACGCGAGCGAGGTGCTGGAGCTGGTGCTGGATGGTGTCAAAGCGAGCAAAGTGACGGGCCTGAACCAATTCACCAAGCTCAAGGTGCTGCAGCTGAATGGGTGCGGGCTCACCTCGCTCGAGGAGTTCCCCACCCTACCCAACCTGCAGCGGCTCGAGCTGGCAGACAACGCGCTCTCGGACGGGCTCGACCACCTGCAGGACGCGGCGCTCATGCATCTGAAGGTGCTCGTCCTGGCGGGAAACAAGTTTTCGTCGCTCCAGGGCCTCGAATCTCTGGCGCGTGCCCCACCCGCGCCCTTCTGCGGCCCTGCCTCTTGCGGCGTCTGCGCGCGGCGCCGAGTCGCTCCTGCGCGGGTGTGCCGTGGCCACGGCTGCGTCAGGAGGCCGGGGCGCGGCGCCGCGGATGGCCCGCCCAACGGGAGGCCGGCCGCGCGCTCCCGATGCGGGCGGTGGAGCCGGCCGCTTCCGGGCGGCCTTCTGCAGACATGTCGCAGCCCTCGCGGCGGCGGCGCGGCGTTGGCGCGGAGCGATGCCTCGCGGATGCTGATGCCTCTCGGCGCCACTCCCTGCCCGTCGCAGGCGTCGCTCCCCAGCCTGCGCGAGCTCGACATGGAGGGCTGCGCCGTCGCGGAGGAGGACGCCTACCGCGAGACAGTCTTTGAGATGCTGCCGCAGATCAAGTACCTGGACGGCGTCGACGGGGACGGCGAGGAGAAGGACGAGGAGGAGGAGGACGAGGAGGAGGAGGACGACGACGACGACGAGGAGGCGGACGAGGACGTCGACTCGCTGCTCGATGAGGAGGGCTCCGAGCTCGGCGGCGACTCTGAGCTCGGCGAGGAGGCGCAACACATATCTCCCCACACCTCCTCACATCTCCTCACATCTCCTCACATCTCCCCGTCTCTCCGGAGGAGCTGTGCTCACAAGCCGAACTCGCACCCACACATCTCACTCCGCGCACGCTCACCCTCCCCTGCTCTGGCCACATTCGGCCCCCCTCCCCCCTACACCCATATCGACCATCGGCGGCCGCTCCGGCGCGCACCGGCGCGAGCCGCGTCTCCCCACAGCGTGCGGTGTGTGTGAGCAGGGGGCGGACGAGAGCGACCTGGGCGAGGGCGAGTCGGAGCTGGGCGAGGAGGAGGGCGAGGAGGGCGAGTCGGAGCTCGGAGACGAGGAGGGCGAGGAGGGCGTGTCAGAGGCGGACGGCGAGGAGGACGGCGGTTCCGACGCGGGCGAGGGCTCCGCCAAGCGCCAGAGGAGATAGCGACTTTTCCGGCGGCGTCGCGGCGCGCGCGCGCCGAGTCCGACTCGGCGCCTGGCGCCGCGCCTTTTAGGCTCAGAAGCGGGCACGCGGGTCCGGGCGGAGGCCTCTCTGTATTTGCATCAGGCGTTGGCCGCGGTGAGGCTCTTGCCCTAGCTTGGCGTAGGATGGTGCCGGCGCCTGCCTAGCGAGCCTGCCGCACACACCGTAACACGTCGGCCCGCTGCCACCGTGCGTGTGAGTACACATGTACGTACACATGGGCGGCGGACAACCGTCAATCCCCAGACACAAAAAAGTAAAAGAGATTTTCCGAGAGGGCATCAAAGATCAATCTTGGTGCGTGTACCTGCTGGGGGATTGTCCGACTGAGCTGCGGCCGCTCCGGCGCCTTACGCAAAAATCAAAAAGAAGAAAAACGAATTTTACCGCCACCGCCGCAGCAGCCGACCAATTGGGCCCGCCGCCGCCCCCCGGGCCGCAGGGCGCAGCACCGATCAACGGGCCCGCCAACGGGCTCGCCACGGCCGCAGCACCGGTCAATGGGCCCGCCACCGCCGCAGCACCAGTCAATGGGCCCGCCACGGCCGCAGCACCGGCCAATGGGCCCGCCACGGCCGCAGCACCGGTCAATGGGCCCGCCGCCGCCGCAGCACCGATCGATGGGCCCGCCACCGCCGCCGCCGCAAAAGAATCGCCCCGGCTGGAACCGTTACGTGCGCCCATCGCTGGCATCCCACGAACCCGTGCCTCCGCCTGCTGCCGCTCCGCAAGCGGACGACGTGGGAGCCCACGTCATCTTCTGCGTGGACAACTCGGGGAGCATGCGCACGGAGGACGCGTCGGCGGAGGACGGCGCCAACCTCACCAGAGCCGAGGCGGTGGCTCGGTGCTGCCGTCAGCTCGTCGCCACCCAGCAGCAGCAGGGGCAGGGCATCAACCCCGCCGGCAGCGCGAGCTGCCGGCCACATTGAGCGGTTCGTCCGCGTCGCGCACTCGTCCCAACCGGGGGCCGCAGACTCGTTCTGCGCGCCAACGGCTGGTGACGCTGTGTTGCCCTTGAGCTAGTCCTTCCCCGGTCGCCTAGCCTCTGCGCTGTCTGGCGAACGCCTGTATGCCACGCGCGCGGACCACGCTTGCGTGGATACGTGGCTGGCAGGCTGACCCGTGTGCGGGGTAACCCGCGCACGGGGAAGCTTCACGGGTTCGAGTCGCCAAACATTAAGCAGCGGAGGTGTGCCGAGGGGGACCGGGAGGCGGTAAGCCGTTGGCGCTAAGAGGTTCCTCCTTTCCGCGCCCCCCCCGCAAGGCGCGCGATACACATCGTATCAAGAATACTCACTCACTCACACATTGCGCGTTGTTCGAGGCGAGAGGCAAAATACAAAGAAAGAAAGAACCCAACCGAGACCCCCCAAGGGAGGGATTGGGAAAGAAAGAAAGAAAGAAAACAGACAACCCAAGGGAGGGATGGGAGGACGGCACGCCGCCACCACACAGGGATTTTAAGGAGAGGTGTGTGGTGCGCTATCCGTCGCCCACCCTAGGGAGTCTGCCTCTTCCTATTGGGAAGACGGCACGCCGCCACCACACGGGGATTTTAAATATCAAACCGCACTTTTTCAAAATCTGAGCAGTGCAATCAGCTGTTCATCGGCGCGAGGAGGCACCGCCGCCCAACCGCTGCACCGTCTCGTCCACGTCTCGTCCGTCGACGGCCATGCTGCAAGTCGCTGTCCTCCTCACTGCCCTGAGCCGGCCTGCGCTCGTCGCGCCGAGGCCGCCCGCGCCGCTGCGGTCCCGCACACCCGTCGCCACGGCGGCGCCGGCTTCGCTGCTCGGCAAGGCGGCGCGGATGGTGCGCGGCGACCCGACCATCCAGTACGAGACCATCACGTGCTCGGACATCGACGAGGAGGAGTGCCTCGCGCTGTGCGACGAGGAGACGGGCTGTTCCATCGTCGCGCCCAGCGCCGCGCTCCGCACGCTCAAGATCGGCGTCTACTTTGCGCTCTGGTTCGCGCTCTCGACGGGCTACAACATCGCGAACAAGGTGCGGCTCAACGCGATCGCGCTGCCGTGGTGCCACTCAGCCGCCTCGCTCGGCGTCGGCTCAGCCTTCGTCTCCTTCCTCTGGGCTACCGGCTTGCGCAAGCGGCCGTCGCTGCCGCGCGCCGCAGTGGCGACGCTGCTCCCAATCTCCTTTCTGCACGCGCTCGGCCACATCGGCGCCGTGGTGTCGGCGGGCGCGGGCGCCGTCTCCTTCACGCAGATCGTCAAGGCCGCCGACTTCGCCTGCACCGCCGTGTGTAGTTCGCAGTCGTTCTGAACCCATCCATCCATCAGTCCATTCGTGGTAGGCTGCCGAGCCAGTCTGCACGGCCCTCCTCTCGTGGGGCAGCTCGCGGGTAGATGCCCCACACGCCTCTGCCGCTGGTCCGGCGAGCACGCACTCTGCGCCACTCTGCGCCACTCTGCGCCGACGACGTTGCGCAATTTCCCTGAGACTTCTCGGAAACCTTCTCGGAACCTGCCTGCAGGCATCCTCGGCGCCACAATCTCCGCGCCGGCGCGCCCTCGCCCTCGCGCCGATCTGCTATAGTATACTGAGCATTCTGACCGCGGCTCTACTACACACCATAGGCCGCCCTCGCCCTAGTGCCGATCTGCTATAGTATACTCAGCATTCCATTGCGAGTCCACTGTCTCATAGGCCGCTCTCGCCCTCGTGCCGATCGTCGCGGGCGTGGCGCTCGCTTCGGTGAGCGAGCTCTCTTTCACGTGGCTCTCCTTCTCGGGCGCGAGATCTAGCCGAGATCTAGCCGAGGTCTAGCCGAGGTCTAGCCGAGAGCCAGCCGAGAGCCAGCCGAGATCTAGCTGAGATCCAGCCGAGATCTAGCCGAGATCCAGCCGAGAGCCAGCCGAGAGCCAGCCGAGATCTAGCTGAGATCCAGCCGAGATCTAGCCGAGATCCAACCGAGAGCCAGCCGAGAGCCAGCCGAGATCCAGCCGAGATCCAGCCGAGATCGAGCCGCGAGTACAGTAGCTCCGTCTCTTTGAGCGGCGCGACGCCCTCCAATCACCAGCTCCATCTCATGTAGTGTCTCCCGTAGTCGCGCGACGCTCTCCTGCGGTGCACCCATCATGTAGCGTCTCCCGTCACCGCCGAGATCCAGCCGAGACCTAGCCAGCCGAGAGCTTGGCTGAGAGCCATCCGCGGCTTGCTTCCACCTCCGCGAGTAGCGGCGCGACGCGCTCCAATCCCCGCCGTTCGGATGGGGCTGCACAGAGGCGGTCCTCCCAAACCAAACCCAACCCAACGCTCTCATGGCATGTAGTGTCTCCCGTCACCGCCGCTCGGATGGGGCTGCACAGAGGCGGTCCTCCCAAACCAAACCCAACCCAACGCTCTCATGGCATGTAGTGTCTCCCGTCACCGCCGCTCGGATGGGGCTGCACAGAGGCGGTCCTCCCAAACCAAACCCAACCCAACGCTCTCATGGCATGTAGTGTCTCCCGTCACCGCCGCTCGGATGGGGCTGCACAGAGGCGGTCCTCCCCAAACCCAACCTCGTCCGCAGGCGCGATGCTCTCCAACCTCGCCTTCGCCACTCGCAACATCCTCTCTCGCGCGTCGATGGACCGGCCAAAGGGGAAGAACATGACGCCCGAGAACCTCTTCGGCGCGCCCCCGCGGACACACTAGTCTCAGCACGGGGCCAGGGGGCCCTCACTAGCTGCACTCGGGCTCACTCCCACTGCGCCTTCGGTGGGGGTGGACTGGCGCGTAAACGGAGAGTCGCGGAGTCGCGCGCCTCCCACCAAGGAAGGGCTACGCAGTACCCCTCACCGGTGCACGGGGCCAGGCCAAGCCCCTCCGGCCCCTCCGGCCCCTCCGGCCACTCCATCAGGTAACGCCAGCTGCGACGCGACGTGGCACCCGCCCTCCAACAAGAAGAGCAGTGCAAACGGGCCACCGCCAGGATGCTGGGTCATCGGCCCTCCGTGGTGGGGCGCTCGGCCACAGTGCCTGCTCGGCCCGCTGCTGGAGCTGTTTGGGGGGCAGGAGACGCTCCCGTTGCCAAAC